GATGTCCCCCACGGCCTCCCTCCTAAACGAGACATCCAACACAAAATTGACCTCATCCCGGGGGCTGCCCTACCCAACAAACCAGCATACCGAATGAACCCTGAAGAAACGAAGGAAATTCAACGTCAAGTTGATGAGTTGTTAGCTAAGGGCTTCGTGAGAGAAAGCCTTAGCCCGTGCGCTATTCTGGCACTTTTAGTGCCAAAGAAGAATGGAACGTGGCGTATGTGTTGCGATAGTCGGTCTCTCAACAAGATCAGTATCAAGTATTGGTACCCGATTCCCCGTCTGGAAGACATGTTGGACAAGTTGCAAGGCTCCAAGATCTTTTCAAAAATTGATCTTAGGAGTGGGTATCATCAAATTCGAATCTTTGAAGGAGACGAGTGGAAGACAGCGTTCAAGACAAAGTTTGGGTTATACGAATGGTTGGTTATGCCATTTGGATTAACCAATGCCCCGAGCACGTTCATGTGGCTTATGAATCAAGTCTTGAAGCCGTTTATAGGTCATTTTGTCGTTGTCTACTTTGACGACATTCTGATTTATAGCAAAAAAGAGGAAGATCATGCTAATCACCTCACTTTGGTGATTAAGAAGTTGGACGAGGAGAAACTCTACGGCAACCTCGAAAAGAGCCAATTCTTTTCGCATGAAACGGAGTTCTTGGGATACTTTATCTTAAGTGAAGGCATACGGGTGGACGAAAAGAAGACACAAGCCATTAGAGAATGGCCGACCCCCACCACTGCAACAAGTATGGAGTTTTCATGGCCTTGCCTCTTTCTACCGGAGATTTGTGAAGGATTTTAGCACCATCACGGCACCTATCACGGATTTGACGAAAAATCAGAAGTTCGAGTGGAACTCCAAGGCCCAACAGGCCTTTGAAACAATCAGGGATCGATTAACACATGCCCCCGTGTTAGCCCTTCCTAGTTTTGACAAACTATTCGAGGTCGAGTGTGATGCCTCGGAAGTTGGAATCGGGGCTGTCCTATCCCAAGAAGGGCACCCGGTGTCGTACTTTAGCGAGAAGCTAAACAACACGAGGAGGTATTCCACATACGACAAGGAGTTCTACGCATTGGTGCGGTCACTTGAGCATTGGCGTCATTACCTCGTGAGCAAGGAGTTCATCTTACATTCCGATCATGAAGCGTTAAAATACATTCAAGGGCAGCATAAGCTCCGACCCCGTCATGCTAAATGGGTCGAATACATCCAAACCTTCACCTTCACCATGAAGCACAAAAACGGAACCATGAACAAGGGCGCCGATGCCTTGTCCAGGAGACACTTATTACTAACGGTACTTAGTACCAAACTTGTTGGCTTTGAGTTTTTGCAGGAGCTTTACAAAGAGGATGAAGACTTCAAGGACACTTATTCCAAGTGCCTTATTCGGCCACATGGAGAATTCCTAATCAAGGATGGTTTTCCGAGGCAACCAACTTTGCATCCTGAAATGCAGCGTTCGAGAAACCCTTATTGATGAAGTTCACGGAGGAGGCCTAGCTGGTCATTATGGGGTCGATAAGACTCACATGATGATGAAGGAACACTACGGCCAAGGATGGAACGAGACGTGGAACACGTCATCAAGCGTTGCAACACGTGCCACCTCGCCAAAAGTCAGTTGCTGCCCCAAGGAAAGCACTTGCCCCTACCCGTCCCCCTTGCTCCATGGGAAGATATCAGCTTGGACTTCATCACCGGGCTGCCAAGGACTCAACGAGGCAAAGATTCTATCATGGTCGTCGTGGATCGGTTTTCAAAGATGGCCCACTTTGTACCATGCCTCACCACCTATGATGCTTCCCAAGTAGCTGACCTCTATTTCCGAGAGATAGTCAAACTCCATGGCGTTCCCCGAAGTGTTATATCTACGCTCCGGGTTTGTCGGTATTAAGCTCGGATTTAAGGAACAAGCTCCTTCTTTTGCTGGATGGGTTAATAGTCGATTATCAGTATGGTGATAATCGATTATATAGGACTACAGGAGTTTCCCTTGATGTATGATAATCGATTGTCCAAGTAGGATAATCGATTGTCAAGTGATTCAGTTTCTCAGGAGGAGCTTTAGAAGTTTAGGACAAATAAACAATCGATTTACAAGAAGTGATAATCGATTATGGAAGGCTGCAGATTTTCTGGGAATGAGTGATAGTCGATTATCTTAAAGGGATAATCGATTATTACTACCTGCAGATGTTTCCAATGGAACTGATAATCGATTGTGGGGAGTGATAATCGATTGTTTGGCAGTGATTCTGGACAGGAAGAAAGGCGTTTTTACGGGGAATGGGTTGGGAAAATATGGGGCTGATGAGGGAGTTCTTTTGGGTATTTTTAATGGAAGAAAATCAGGGATGGATAAACCAAGTTGGTGTTTAAGAGATATTACACACTCTTATCCTAACTTGGGGTTTGAATCTAGAATTTAATTAAGATATGACACACTTAATCAAATATCTAGAACCTAAAACTCACACTTAAGATAACCACTCTTAAGATATAGAATTAGGAATTTGGCTAAAATAGCATCACACTATTTTAATAATACTCAAAGAGTAAAAGATTTTGATATTCAAAAGGTTGTGCATTACAATGGCCATATGGCCGAATTTATAAGGGGGAAAAGGGAGAGGGGAACACATAATACATTGAATGTGAACATGAGGAAGCTTCCTAGCAACATCCTCTCTCAAAGCATGGGGCATTCTTCATTCAAACCTGTCTCCTTAGTGGGATAAAATCAGGGATGGGGGCTGGTGTTGTGGGGGTTTGTGTTTTGGTTCCTTGTGGTTGTTTCCTGGTTTTTTTGTGGCTATTATTTGGGTAAAATGAGGGGTTGTGTTTGGTCAATAAAAGGGGACAGGGATGGGCAATATTATGGGTGGTTTTGGACATATGGGTTTGGGTTATTGTGAGGGAAACATGGGCAGGAAGTAGGGGCTGGAGGTGGGTCATGGTTTTGGCTCTTTGTGGGTGTTTATGTTTGTATTGTGAAGTATATTTTGGCCAGGGGGTGAATGGAATAAAGGGAGGGTTTAATTGGCTCAATAAAGGCTTTTAAAGAAAGAAAATAACAACAAACAAAAGGTTTTATTTTACACACTCTTATTTTCGGCCCTGGGCTAAAATAAGAGTAGGAAGAATTGTATTTTGGATATCAAAAGGAAATTGAATACTTTTGGATATTTGGGGTTGGGTTGGACGGAAAGAGGATTGGCCAACGGAACCCTGAGGTCAAAAACGAAAGTTCTTTGGCCTTCCGGGTTAAAGGACTTTGAATTCTTACTAAAATGGATCATAATGTTTGAACCTAAGTCCTTTGGTTCCCTTGGGAGTGTGGGACATGGGGGAGGGTAGGATAGGGCCGGGCCCAGATATAACACGAAGCATGGTCTCGGATAGGGACACGAAATTCCTTAGCCATTTTTGGATGACCCTATGGAGAAAGTTGGGTACTAAACTGAAGTTTAGTACGTCGAGCCACCCACAAACCGATGGCCAAACCGAAGTCACCAACCGCACCCTTGGAACACTCTTACGAGCCCTCATCAAGAAGAACATCAAGCAATGGGAAGAGCTTCTACCGCACGCCGAGTTTGCCTACAACCGAACCCCAAACAAGACTACCGGGCTATCCCGATTCACGGTGGTCTATGGTTCGAACCCCTTGACCCCACTTGAACTTGATCCGATCATCATGGACACCAAATACAGTTGGGAAGCGGACAAGCGGTCAAAGGAAATCCAAGACCTTAACGCCAAGGTTCGAGACAAGATTGAGGCTATGAACGAGAAGATAAATGCACGCATCAACAAAGAAGGAAGGACGTCCACTTCCAACCGGGAGACCTTGTTTGGATTCACCTTCGGAAAGAGTGTTTCCCCACGAAACGCAAGTCAAAGTTGCTACCAAGAACCGATGGCCCGTTTGAAATCTTATAGAAAATCAACGACAATGCCTACAAGATCAACCTTCCGAGAGATTATGGAGTATCGGCTACTTTCAATATCAAGGACATTAGTCCGTACTTCGAGCCTGAAGAAATGCCGAGTTTGAGGACAAACTCTTTTGAAGACCGGGTGAATGATATACCCCGGGTAACCACCAACGACTCTAAAGTCCTTAAACAAATCAACAGAATAATGGCCAAGTGTTATGATCCCTTTTGGAGTGAATTTATCACCATTAAAAACCATAACCTAACCATAATGTCCTTGGATCCTTCCCCACCATGAGGCCGAACCCCAACCTTGGCTAAAACCACCACACCCTAAATATCCAAACCAACCTTTAAAACCACAACCCAACCCTCCTCTTCTGCCCTCACCTTTGGCCGAAACACTAAACCCAAAGCCCACACGTCACCCCACCTTTTGAACCCACCTTAGATTAATAATCACAATCCCAATAATAGCCTAATCAACCAGCCCCTCTTTCCCCCTTGTTGTGGCCGAAAACAATCAGCCAAAAACCTTCCCAAACCCATGTCTCAGCCCCCACAATTGTTCCCCATTATACTCTCCATTATGTGTAAGGAAACAAGCTGCAAACAAACAAAACATATTGGCCCACCTTGGCAGCCACCCAACTCACCTTTGCTCTCCATAAATTACCTATTACATCCCTCCAAAATAGCCAACCCACTCACCCCCCTGCCTGGCCGAATCAACCCACCCAATACCCTCCAAAATGGCAGCCAACTCCACCATAACTTGCCCACAATAATAACCCAACAACAGCCCCACAAACCAGCCCCTATCTCTGATTTTCTTCCCCACCAAAGGACTCAAATAAGTGGTTATTATTCCTTTAATTTGTGTGAATAAGAGACTTGGTAGTCTCCCTTGTTTTGCTATATATATTTCAACCATAGGCCTTTGTAACATCATCAGATTGTATTTCCCATTTCAATAGTAATACACTTGTGTGTTCTATTTTAAATTCCTATTTCTATATCTTAAGAGTGGTTCTCTTAGGTGTGATTTATAGGTTCTAGTTATTTAAATAAGTGTGTAATATCTTATTTGAATACTAGATTCAACCCCAAGTAAAAGATAAGAGTGTGTAATATCTCTTAACACCTACTTGGTTTATCTTCCTTAAAGAAAACAAATAAATATATTTTACCCTCTCCACCATTTCCCCTTGAAGTTGAGCGTAACATATCCTAAGGTTGCAGCTCTACTACAATAGCTATTTCAGTGTTTAATCCAAATAGGTAATGTACCAATGTTTGTGAATCGTTTTATTGAAGGTCACATCTCATCAAGAGTTCTTCAAACTCCCGAGTGTAGTCTTCAACCGAGCGGGGACCTTGCCTTAGGTGTTGAAGTTTGGCAAAGTTGTCCCGTACATATTGTTTGGGCAGGAACTTCTTCTTCAACAAGCTCCTCATCTTGAGCCAAGTCTTCACGGGGGCCTTATTCTCTCGCCTTCTTTTGGTGGAGAGGTTGGACCACCAAGTGGAGGCACACTTCCAGAACTTAAATGCCACGATCTTGACTTTCTTATCTTCGGGCACATCTTTGAAGTCAAAGACGCGCTCAACAGTTTCTAGCCACTCTAGAAAGTCATCCGGATCGTTCTTCCCTTCAAAGGTTGGTATGTCAACCTTGAAATCGGTAGCTCCTCGTTCATGATTCTCCTCTCTAGTGGTGTAACTAGAGTTAGCTTCGCGGTGAACTTCTTCGTCTTCATCGCTTTCCTCCGGGGTATTCACCATGCTCATCTTGAGCTTAGTGAGTTGGGCAACTTGCTTGGCCAAGTATTAAACTTGGGCCTTGAGAGCGGCATTGGAGGCTAGGAGTTCTTCGTTGGACAGGTTGTTGGAAGTGTTTGACATGACGATAGCAAGGGAGGGAAAAGGAGAAGGTATGTAAAGGAAGGAAAAGATGAAGTGTGTTGTATGGCCTCAAGGGAATGCCCAACAACAAGCTTTGATGCCAAATGTTATATCTAAGCTCAAGGTTTTATGGGTAATGACCATGACTTAAAGAACACAACTCCTTTATTTATTGGGGGGGAAGATAATCGATTGTCCTAAATCGATAATCAATTGTCAAGGGGTTCAGGTTCTTGGGCAAACTTTCTAGGATTTTCAGGGAAGGGTGATAATCGAGTGACAGAGGGGTGTCAGTCGACTATTGAAGGTTGGGGGTAACTGGGGAAGGCTGATAATCGATTGTGTTATAAGGATAATCGATTATTGAAGGCTGCGGGTGTTTCAGGAAGGATGGATAATCGATTATTATCAGTGAAAATCGATTATATGACGACTCGGGAAAAAGAAAAGAAGTATTTTCTTGGGGAGGGGAACAAACCAAGTTGGTGTTAAGGGATATCACACACCCTTATCTTAACTTGGGGTTGACACTTTGATTAAAAATGGAATACAATGTGTTCCTACACACAGGCCTATTGCTGAATATATAGAATTACATTGGAGGGGAAAAGAAAAAAGTACAACTCACTTTAAATAATGCTCATGTGCTCATGTTTCCTGAGTGGAATGAAATCAGGGATATGGGCTGCTTGGTGGGGTTTTGGGCTGTTCCTGAGTGGCTAGAAATGTTGGGGGAAGGAGGGATGAATGTGGGGAGGGCTGAGGTTGAGGGCCAAGAAGTGGGGGTAAGATAATGTGGTACATTTGGCTGGGTATTTGTGGCAGTTATGGGGGAATTTGAGTTTGGTCAGGATGGGGAGACAAAGGGGTGTGTGTGGGGTGTGTTATTTGGAGTTTTGTTGTAGGTTTGTTGTGGGGAGTGGAGGTATTATTGTGAAGGAAAATATCCCTGGGCATTTTGGGTTGTAATATAAGTGTATTGGGGAACATAATGAGGGCCACATTGGGTGTTGTTTTGGACACTTATTTTCGGCATTGTAAAAGAAAAAAGGGAAGGGAAAGTGTGGTTTTGTTTGCTTTGGATTCCCAGGAATGATTTTTGAGATGTTGGATTGGTTATTAAGGTGGTGATGGGTTCAGGGTAAGTATGGTTAGGGTGCATGGTTTGGTGATGATTTCATTTCAAAGGGGATCATAACACTTGGATATTATTCCATTGATTTGCTTAAGGACTTGAGGACGATTTGTGGTGCTCGGGGATATATCAAGTTTGTTCCTCTAGCTCATGTTTCCAAACCGGCGCGATAGTTTCTTTGTCGTCTCGAATTTCTTCGAGCTCTATATTTCTCCCACTAGTTGCGTTGGAGAGAAATTCCTTCTCGAGGAAGACACCATTGTGAGCAACGAATACCTTCTTATCGATAGGGTGATAGAATAAATACCCTCAAGTTTCTAATGAATTGTAGTTTTTCGGGTAGTAAACCTTCCCAGTAAAGGGTTAGTTTTCTCTCTGAGTGTCGTATCTCTCGAGGAGTGGACGAAGGGAATTAATTAATTTCTCTAATTAGGCGAAGGCTTAGACAAGTTTATGAAAGTCTTCTTGGATTGATTATAAAGAGAGCAGAGTAAAAATAATAAATAAATTTCACATAGTATAAGTGTAGATCTGGATTTAGGGTCAGAACATCATTTGGATCTATTTTATCATATTAAATTAACAATTGGAATAATACTCTTTCTATTACTACTCTTCCATTTCTAAATTTGTACTTATTCCGTTGCACTTGAATAACATAGCCCTTTGGCAAACAATATTTTCTCAATAAATAGCTAATTAAATCTTCTGATATTAATTAACTAGATAAGGCAAGAGCAATTGACTAACCATTCCAATATTAATTTAACATTCAAAATATACAACGAAACTAGTCCGGACCCAGAGATCTGGATCCTAACTCATACTATGTAAACATAAGTTAAAACAACATTTTATTAAATAAAGAAAACTTACGGCTTCAGAAAAAGCGGAACTGAACAGATCGAGAACAGAATTTCTCCAAAAATTATTCTAAAACTACTAATATGCTAAACTAAAACACGGAATTGAAATGTGGAGCTCAAATCCCGAGATTGGGACTGAAAAGTGATGGTTGAATGGTGTGAAAAGCGCAATATTTATAGGACAGAGGCCGAGGCGTCCAAGTAGAAGCGTCCAAGTCCAGGTGTCCAGATCGGGACGCTTGAGCTATTCCAGCCAACCAGGTTTTGCCACGTGTCAGTCTTGGAGCGCAATTTAAGCGAGGCGTCTAAATCAAAGCGTCCAACTTGGTCAGGCATCCAAGTTGGACGCCTTAAGCCCTTAGTCCGTTGGGTTTTGCGACTGGTTCGTGATTTTGGCCCAACTTCGCTTTGTTTTTCGCCCCGGACACTATTTTGACCTCTTGGAAGCTCGTTCAAGCCCGAATCTTGATCCCTTGATGATTCTTCGTCCTTTTATCAAGTATTTGAACATAAATGGATGATTTATTATGATTTCATGTGGAATCCCCCTTTATGACTCTTAGATCAAAAAATGAGAGTTTTATTGATTAAAAACACATTTTATGAGATGATTAAATACTATTTACGTGCAACAAAGTTTAGAATATGATGTAAATGATAAGAACGAAACGGACTTATCAAATTCCTCACACTTAAACGTTGCTTGCCCTCAAGCAACAAATTGAATAATTATAAATAAAAAGGCAATTTAGTAATTACAGAGGATAGGTTTAAGCTACATATTATGAAGGAAAGAAGAAATAAGATAGTCATCAACCGTTCTGTTAAGAAGAAATGAACCTTTAGATTCTCACCCATATTGTTAGAAATATAGTAGAATTTTGTCAAACCAATATTTTTATACCAACCTAAAAACCAAAAGTTTCCAAACTTTCCTTGGGATAACTACATTTCTTAGAGTAGTTTTAATGATCAAAAAGTCCTTAATGGCTAAATTGGAAAACATGTTCTTGCAAAAGTATTTGTCAAAATGTAAGGGTTTAACTTTCTTTGGTATAACTCTGTCATGTTGACACGAGAAAAATTTCCATCCTCGTCCCGTGGCATAGAACCACGAGCTTTTTGGAAAGTCACTCTGGAAAATCTCATCACACGACATAGAACCGTTTGCTTTTTTACTTTAATCAATCACTCAAAAGGCCTCATCACGCAATATAGAACCACGTGCTTTTCGGCTTACTCACCACGCCTCATCAATTGACATAGAACCAATTGTTTTTTGGCTAAAACAATAATCTCGGTCTCACCAAAGCATACTTTGAAACGTCACCCCTTATACTTTGAAACTAACTCTTTTCGAGAAACAACAGATACTCTTAAAAGCATAGCACTTAAAAATTCATTGATCTTAAAAACTCTTAGTAAATTGTGAATTTATCCCAAATCATTTTTAGAAAACATTCTCAAAAGGTTAGAGTAAAAATAGAAGTTTGACAAAAAGTTTTAAAAATTTTAAAAATTTCCAATTTTTACGGGTGATAACTAAAGATTTAATTAATCAAACAATTAAAATTGATGACTATAAAAATCTTTTCCTACAAATACATAGACAAAAGAATTCCTAAAAGATCATTTCAACCAAGAAATCTTGCTTCCTCACACTTAAACGAAACCACGCCCTCGTGGCTAGGAGTATTTTTGAAATTGGAGTTACTGGTTGAAATGCTCACATGCAATTACTACGCAGGACGAAACAATAAATTATCATAACCTTTAAAAGAAATTCCACTTTTAAGAAATGAGTTTTAATAATCATAAAAATGGAATTCCAAAATAAAATCATATGAATATCCAAAATAATGTTCCGAATGCAATAATAGGAAAAATAGGGATCTCACTATCCCTGACGTTTGCTTGGCTTAGGACCAGCCTCATGCTCTGTTTTCTTCATTCCCCGTTCCCGGATATGGTCGAGTATTTCCTCCATCTGCCACTGCTGAGTGAGAAGAAGCGTCTCTATGCTCCTCAAACAGGAGTCCACAAAATCCTGAAATGCATACATAGCCTGAGAGAGCTTGTGAAGAGACATAGGAATGGTATGCTGCCATTTTGGACGTGCCTCCTTGTCTTCATTATTGTATGCAATCTGGGCCAAATACCCTGTCAGTGGTCGGAACATGCTCACAGATTCTGGAAGAACATCGAGAACCGCCATATGTAATCCTCGGGCCTGGAGTGTAACCATTGGCCCACAAATGACAAATTGGAGATCACAAGTAGACTGAGCAAACAAGAATCGAGCCACAAAGGTTGCTAAATTAACTGGTACGCGTGCTTCCAAACTCCAGAAAAATAGCATATCAGACTCAAACACCACGTCAGGGTCGTGAGAACGGCCGAAATAGCTGTGAGCCAATGCATGGTGCAAAATTCTCCCGGACGAACGCGCCCAATTCCTAGCTAGGCTTGCTCCACTGTGAAATCGTCCATGTCTCTGAGCTTGCCAAAACTTCTTAACATTGAATTCTGGGTCCAACTGGTCGGGCAGATTGGTAAAGGCTAGGCTTCGAGTTTCATCAAACGTGTATACACCGAAGAACCACCCTAAGTCTTCCACAGCTAGTTTTAACAGTCGACCTTCAGCGTGAATGTGATCTTAGTAGTGGAGGTGACCTCGGCTGCTGACTTTGCTTCCTCTTCGTTATTGAGGAAGCAGAGGGAGCATAGAAACTCAATGGTAGCTTCCAGGCTGGCTGGTGCATGCAGGAACAATAGGATTCTCCATTTTGGGTCATACAGCAAGTCATCAATGTCCTGCCAGTACCCTAGTTCGTCCAGATAAGTAGGGTCCAACACCATAGGAGGCTGGAGCATCTTAGTGTTTCCCCAAGTGAGAAACTTCTTTTTCTCTTGCTCTAAGTGCAAGGGGAGCTCTTCCATGTTCTGCAATGTGCGGCGGTTTCCATGCAGAATCATCCAAGCAACATCCATCTGTCGAGCAGAAAAAATAAAACGAGTAAAATCTTGCCCCCAAACTGGTGCAGCAAGTAAATAACAAATAAACCTATTGATTTTATTTATTTATTTTAGTTATCTGAATGACGGTTTGCCTCCCGTTAAGCGCTTCTTTAACGTCCGTAGCTTGACGCTCACCCACTTTTTCCGCGACTTCCCAATCCGAGAGTGATAAGTTCATTTTGTTCTTATTTTATTCTACATATTTTAAGCGTTATTGCACGAAAATAGTGATAAGCAGTACATAATTTTATGTTAAACTGAACAATATCTTTGATTTGTTCTTTGAGGAATAATAATTGGTTTAAAATTTATCCCGTCTTGATTGTTGATTTTTCTACTTATATTTGAAAGAAAAAGAAGTTTTTAACTGAGAACTTTATCTTGAGAATATCGGAGGAAGCTGAAACAAACTGCGAAGCAAAGTGAAAATAGAAATTGGGCCTGAATTGGATCAAGCCGCGGAAAAAGCCCACAGGAGATGGCCCGAAGCGTCCAACCTTGGACGCTTTGCAGGTTGGACGCTTCCTGTTGTACTCAAACACAGGAAACAATTCACGCAGGATTTGGAAGTGGGAGATAATCAATTAACAAGCTCAGTAAATCGATTAATAGGATCTGATACAGAACTGGGAATGTTCTGAGGAACCCAAAAGTCGATTGACTCTACAAGACAATCGATTTACAAGGATTTACTCGGAACTGGATACTTCCTGAGGATGACGATAATCGATTATCAAATTATTGAAAATCGATTATGAGAAGTTTTGTACTTTGGAGAAGAATCTGCAGACTACAATAGTCGATTATTAGTTAAGGATAATCGATTATTCAGAAGTTCAGAATCAGGATCAGAAGAAAAACAGAGAAAATGTTTTGGGATTTTTGAATAGGGATAAACCAAACAATATGTAAGAGATAAACACACTCTTAATATATATTTGGGGCTGTTATCTATTTTATACAATAATAATCACTATTAAAGTATTAAATAGACTCCTAACACACACTCAAAAGTGGCCAACTTTAGAGGTATTTCATTAGGAAATGGATTGAACTAGCTTCACACCAATTCAGGGAATACTTCAAGAGTAATATTAATAATGAGAATGAGATGATCTTACCAAGGCCTCATGGCCGAAATATATAATGCAAAATAAGGGAAATTACACTTCACTTTCCTACAAATCATGTGATTAATATCCATGTGTTATTATTCTTAGTGGGCAGCACTCATTGACCAAGAAAAGGAGATTAAAAGGCTGGGATTTTGGCTTAGTATGGTTCATTAATTCCTGCCATGTGAGAAGGAAATCAAGGAAAATTGTAACTTTGACAATTAAGGATAATGTGACAAAGTTTGCACTATTCAATCAATGATTTTGGTTCCTTGATGTTTTTATCTTTATCCTTGGTAAATGGCGTTGTGTTTATGGATATTTGGAGTGGGAAATTCGGCCATATGCTGAAGAATATGAAGGGGATTGGGTTTTGAACAACTGGACAAAATCAGCACTATTCAATCAAGTAAAACTTTTCCTGATTTTGTTTTTGTTTTGTGGAACATAATGTGGCCTGATTTTTGGGTAAAAGAGTTGGGAAATTCGTGGGTTTGAAGTAGGGAAGTGAAAGGGAGGTTTTATTTTAATTAAAAGGAACAACAGAAGTAGAAATAATACACAAGGCTTGTCCTTCTGACCTCATTCTCGTTCAGGGCTAAAAACGAGAGAAAGGACTTTATTTTGTTTATTAAATGGAAATAAAAGACTTTGGATATTTGGGAAGGATATGGAAAGGCTTGATATCAAGAAGAGCTTTGGAGGAGCAGGGTTATGGTTTGGGTTTTAGGGCACGAAAGGTTAATGAGTTCAGCCCAAAAAGGATCATAACACTTAGATATTAACCCTTTGATTTGTTTTATGGTTTGTGGTGTAACCTCCGTGCTTGTAGGAGCATCCCGGGGTACATCACTTCCCCTTGGACGCTTGGCGATGATTGGGCGCCACGAAAGACACGTAGCAAGCAGCGAATGGACGGGCCGCGTAAGGCGTCCAACTTTGGACGCTTTGGATCTGGACGGCTGGGGTTGGATGATTCGCGTCCAGTCCAAAAAATACAGCACTCCCCCTCTCCGATTTGACACACAGCGCCTGTTCTCCCCCAAAAAGTCCGAATTTCTCCTCTTTTAGCCTAGTTATTGAAAGTTACTCTCATATTTTAGATTAGTGTCATTTTTGGAGTTTTTCTCGGAGCAAATTGTAGCCCGCACCTCCTGTTGTTCAGATCTGTTGAAGTAAGTTCGTTTACTCTTTACGATCAATTGGAAACTGTCTTCTTATGATGCATGTGTGTTGAAGGTTGTTATTATGAGTAGCTAAATTAATTAGGGATGTAATTTTTGGAATGGTGATGGTAATTTTCTGGAAAAATCATTGAGTTGAATTATATTGTTGTCAAAAGCAATTTACTAGTTTTTATTACTAAGAATTTATACTTGAGATTTGTAAATCGAGAGAAAGCAAATCTATTCTTGAAAATTATATTTCTTGAGAAATCTGGAATTTAATTAAGTCAAGTCCTGTAATTTTGATAATTAATCTTAGACATTGGATTAATTGTTAAGTGAATATTTGAAAAGGTATTTACTTACTAGTAAAGAGATTTAAAGTAAAAGTAACTGGTGATTTTACTCTTAAAAGAACCATCACCTAACCTATAATTACATCCCTACTTTTTATTCTTGAAGGGTAAAAATTTTATCCCTATTCCTTATTCGTCTTCTTGAAAACTTTTCGATTCAACAAGTAAATCTTGTCTAGCTAGTCTTGCTAACTTTCCCTTGGGCTGATCCTTGAGACGACAAGGGATAAGCTGATCTTTTAAAGGTCTAGACTGTTCCCTTTACTACTACGAGAATTTTGAGTTTAATCACAATTCTTTTACAAATAAACCTATTGATTTTATTTATTTATTTTAGTTATCTGAATGACGGTTTGCCTCCTGTTAAGCGCTTCTTTAACGTCCGTAGCTTGACGCTCACTCACTTTTTCCGCGACTTCCCAATCCGAGAGTCATAAAGTTTGGCCTTTCTGACTCTCTTCTGATACCACCTTATTTGAATTTTCGCCAGGTCAAGGTCCAGGATCCTTGACTCATCCCTGTGGCTTGGTGGCAACAGGATATATGGAGGAGACCTTGTATGGGTGGGTGGAGGTGGAAATCTCATTAGTAGATCCACATTATTAGCCTTGATTGCGAAATTGATTTCTTCCTTATCTTCAACGGGCTGACTAGCTGTTTGTGGCTTAATGATTACGACCGTGCTTTCCCCCATGGAAGAGTCCTCATCGTCACTCACCAGAAGTTCATCCCAACTCTTTAGGTTCCAACCATCCTTCGGGCAGACATAGTCATTCCCGTCAAGTAGAGAATCAAAGAAAGTATGGTCTGAATCTTCAGATGAATCATTATTTGCGTAGGTTTCTGTAGACGGAATTAGTTCATCAGCGCAAAGTAATTCCTCAGACTCTTGGATGTCGGAATCTTAGGGGTAGGTAGTGGGCTCTACTTCCTCCAGAACAAGTTCCTCTGGAGGTGTGTCTTCAACACAATTAAAGAGATGGTTGTTTATTACCATAGGTAAAACTTCCTCCTCCTTTTCTTGAATAAGCATGGGTGGTTTTGAGTTAGGTCCCTCAGTGGGTTTCACCTCATGTATGACTATGCTCGTTGAGACTTGGCTTGGAGGGTATTCAGGTAACATTACCCCAATAGCCCTAGCGAGAGTTGTTATGCTCTCGGGTTTCTGTAATAGTGTTGGTTTGGGTGAATTTTCTAGAATTGGGACCTGGTGGTTGAATGTTTCAAGGTTGGTCTTAGGTTCTAGAGCCTCCTTTTGAGCATCAACTTCCTCCAATTGATCTTGAGATTGGAGGCAGCGTTTAAGTTCAACAGCCTTACAGAGATCATTGACTAATTTATCAGCTTTAGCCTCGGCTTCTAGTCTCTCTCTTTGGAAGTCATCTAGCATTTTCTGCATCATATATGATCCTTCGCATAATCTCCTTTCGAACTCCTTTTCCTTCCGGACTGATTCAAGAAGTTTTGCTCTTCTGCGAATTGCCACCTTGTTTGCTTCAATTTGTTCTTCAGCAAACAAAGTGTAGTCACGGGAGTAGGGTGGTTTGTACCAAGAGCCTTCAGCGAATAGAACTTCATCGAAATAGAAAATTTTCTGTTCTAATCTTATTATTTCTTCGACAAGTGGATCAGGTTGGTTGTCATACATAAGCCCATTATGGTCATAGTCATTGTGATCACCATGAGGTTCGTAATAATCATCCCCGTCAGTGTCTTGGTATGGAGAATATTCAAAGTTTTGATACGGGGTATTATATGGTGGTTTCTCATGGTATGGATAGTAGTCAGACCCTTTGTTGACTTGGTAGTCATCATCGTATGGGTACTGATGTGGGTGATAAGGTGGATGGGTTTGAAATGGAGGGCGGTTGGGTGATTAGCAGAGAGGAGGCGGTTCGGAATAACCACTGGAGTTATCCATATTTATTACGGGTGGTTGGTGAAAAGGAAGTGAGAAAATCGTTCTAACCAATCTTCACCCAAGCTAATCAAAAGAAACTAAACTAATGTCGTGCCACTCCCTGGCAACGGCACCATTTGATGAATTGTAGTTTTTCGGGTAGTAAACCTTCCCTAGTAAAGGGTTAGTTTTCTCTCCGAGTGTCGTGTCTCTCGAGGAGTGGACGAAGGGAATTAATTAATTTCTCTAATTAGGCGAAGGCTTAGACAGGTTTATGAAAGTCTTCTCGGATCGATTATAAAGAGAGCGGAGTAAAATTAATAAATAAATTTCACATAGTATAAGTGTATATCTAGATTTAGGGTCACAACATCATTTGGATCTATTTTATCATATTAAATTAACAATTGGAATAATAATAATATTTCTATTACTTCTCTTCTATTTCTAGATTTATACTTAATCTGTTGCACTTGAATATCATAGCCCTTTGGCAAACAATATTTTCTCAATAAATAGCTAATTAAATCTTCCGATATTAATTAACTAGATAAGGCAAGAGCAATTGACTAACCATTCCAAGTCAAGGACATATAATCCATTGGTCATGTTGGCATTAGCATAGAAAACATTCTTTCTATAAATGGAAAGGGACTTGTCTATAATAGAAATGATGAAACCACTTTTATCAAGACACGAAATAGAAAGTATGTTTCTGCTAATCGCAGGAACGTACAAGCAATTGTTTAATTCCAACATTAGACCACTAGGCAAGACTAAACTATAAGTTCTGATTGCCAAAGCTGCAACAGGTGCACCATTGCCCACTCGAAGTTCAATCTCGCCTCGAGCTAACCGTCTACTCTGATTCAGTCCCTGCATGGTAGTACAGATATGAGACCCACATCCAGTATCTAGTACCCATGATGAAGATATAGACAGGTTAACTTCTATAACATACATCTCAGAAGAAATGTCCATACCTTCCTTCTTCTTGGATGCGAGGTATGTCCTGCAATTTCTCCTCTAGTGGCCTGCCTAGCTTACCACAGTGATGACATTTGCCCTTTGCAATCTCTCCTACGGGTTTTTGGGTTGCAGATCAAGTGGACTTTGATTTAGGCTTTTCGACTGTCCTAGCCTTAATCTTGATCCCCTTCTTCGGCTTCCCCTTTCCGCCTTGGACCATAAGGACGGAAGCACCCTTGCCCTTAGTAAGGTTCTCCTTTGCAGTCTGGAGCATTTTCAGAAGCTCCAGAAGGGGTTTGTCAAGATCGTGCATCATGTAGTTCATGACAAAACCCTTGAGCAACTACAAGATCAGGTCCGTTGCAAGGAGAACCCGAGTTTCTCTAGATTAGTTATGTAACCAATCATTTTGAGAACGTGCGGACCGACCGGGTTCCCTGAAGAGAGTTTGCAACTAAAGAGAGCCTTACTCACAAGAAAATGTTCATGCCTGGATTGCCCCTCGTATTGTTGTCGCAAGGCCTTCATGTCCTCGTGTTGTTTTTGCAGCTCGAGTGTCATGGTTGCCAGCATGACACAGCTAACTGTTGTATTTAGGTGCCCTAGCGGCAATCAAATACCTATGTAACTGTACACTTTATCATGAATGAAAGGCTTTGAAGTATGTTTTATATCTCGTGTAACATAACATAGCTTCAGTCCATAGACGATAGCGCTTCAGTAACATAGATGAGGACTACGATGTTCTGATTATGAGACTGTTACTTCTTGACGAAGGCTATGTCTAAAATATCCCTAGTCGCACTT